AAACGTAGTTGTTTTTAATAGGAATACATAATTACAAAAACAATTTACATAATTTGTAATGCATGAAAGTTACAAAAATTATATCATTATATCAAGCAAAAAAAAATAATGCAAATAATCATGAAATTCCAAACTTATTCATTATAAGTATTCAAATAGGAAATGGAATCATCAAAGTCTCTGAAGCAAGAAGCTAGCAAAGCATCTCACGAATTTCAACATGAGACACATCTCATAATTTTAGGATTATTTTAGGCTAATTTATTACTCAATTCTGGAATTGTTTGCACATCGAAAAATCTGTGGCTTTGCTAGCTTTGGCCGAACTCAGCATTTTTGAAAAACAATATTTTTCTATGATTTGATAGAGTGAAACTGTAGGCCATTGTAGGGCATATTTTATGCTAATTTATTACCCTATTCCCATATTTTTTATTCACTTAATTCACAAAGAAATCTGTGGCTTTGCTAGCTTCGGGTCAGTAGAGCCATTTTTTAAAACAGATTTTTCACTGATTTGATATATTGGGATTTATTGGCTAATTTTCGGTTAATTAATTACCATATTTTCAAAATTTTTGCTCAACGTTCTCAAAAAAAAAAACTAAACGATTTGTTGAAATATGCCTTATTCACTGGGCATTATGTGTTTCGCATTTCTATCAAAACCATATTTGAATAAACGTAACCATCCATTCTCAAAGTGGTCCAGTACTTTTCAACAGGATAAAAAAACGAACTCAAAGTCGGTCGACCACAATATTTATTATAAAAATATTCAGCGTGTGACTATACTACTCAAGTAGCTACTTTTCTCATTGTGTCTGAAGATGGCCGTAGAGCCGAAACTATAGTCACACGTTGATTATTTTTATATTAAATTTTGTGGTCGACCGACTGTGAGTTCGTTGTTTTCTCCATATTTTAATTTTTAAGTGTTAGTATTGATTGTAGGCTCAGTTACAATCACATTTTCTTATTTTTTGCTGCATATTTTTTGGAAGAAACCTGTGGCTTTATTAGCTTTGGGAAATTTTTGAAAATAATATATTTTCTACCGATTTGTTATATTGGGATTCAAAGCCTAATTTCAGGCTGATTGATTATGCTATTTCAATTTCATTTTCTCAACGTTTAAAAATAACCCAAATGATTTGTCGAATTACGAGTTATTCACTAGACATCTTTCATTTCTAAGAAAATATGCAACAAAAAATGGGATAGTTATTGAGCCACAATCAAAAAATATGTTATTGACAGTAATGCATATATATAATGTCTTAGTGAATTTTTTTTTCAAACGTTGAGCAGAAAATCTGAAAAGGGTAATTGATTTAGCCTTTGCATCCCACTATATCAAATCGGTAAAAAATATATTCTTTTCAAAAATTGCTCTGCTGAGTTTGCCCGAAGCTCAAAGAAACAGGTTTCTTTTAAAAATGAGATAGCCTATAATCAATAGGTACTATTGCTATGCCTCATAAAATCATCATTCAATTTGCTTTTCATAAAAATGCATAAATACCTAGTGAATAACGCACATTTCCACAAAAACGTTGAGCAAAAATTTTGAAAATTGGGTAATTAATTAGCCTAGAATAAGCTATCTAACCCCAATATAGCAAATTGGTAAAAAATCTATGTTTTCAAAAATAGCTCTGCTGAGTTCGCCGGGAGCTAGCAAAGCTACAGATTTTCCTATGATATGGAGGAGCAAAATATTCTGGAATAGGATAATAAATTAGCCTAAAATGAGCCAAAAATTATGAGATGTGTCTCATGTTCAAATTTGTGAGTGGCTTTGCTAGCTTCTTCAGTATCACTGGAGCAGGTATTTGTTCAAGTTAATTTTGAATTTAGTTGCTTCCATTCCTTTGGTAATGAAAATTTTGAAAGGAATATCAATTGAAGCAGCAAGTGGAAGAAGGAGTTCTGTTACAAATATGAGTTTGTGAGAGAAATAGGTTTAGTAAAGTTAGCTGACATTTTTTGATGGAAACTAGTTTAATAATTTGATTTATGCAATTGTGAGGAATAGTTGTAGGATGATTTTTCATGATTCACAGCATTGTGCTAACATATCATTTTTTGATAGACATCTGGATTTATGCTTAGATAACCCCTTCTTCTATTCCAACCTGACCTGACATGTAGACAATGGGCACATATAGCTCCTTTTATTGATTCCTTGATGTTTAATGTAACAGCACCTTCTACCACTGTGTATCTGCTCAGATATGAAGAATTCAAACAAATCCTGAGGGCCAAATTACATATGTACCTTCTATGACTAAACGGTATATTTTCAGAAAATGTTGACCTCTTCTTCCACTTGCCCCTTCAACTGCTTGAATCCGTTGCAATAGTATACCTAAAAAACAGCGAATTTTTGATTCTGAATCATTTGGTTGTAGAGTAGAAATAGGTACATTCCTGGAAAAAATAAATGATCAAGAATTATATTTCCTAAAAAGTAAGTCAACTATATTTTTACAAGGTGTCCCAAAAACTCAACGTCATCCTTTCCAGGGCTGATAGTCCAGCTCATATGACCTTAGTAAAATAATGATAGTTTTGAAATTTGTGAAAATCGAAACCTTTGATCAGTATTTCCAGTACAAAACTACATAGTTCATGATTCCAGTTTTGTTATGCAATCTGTAATAACCCTTTGACCTATTGATTATAATCCAAAATTTCAAAATAAAATGAATCCAGAATGAAAAGAATTATGCAATACCAGCCTGAGTGAGCTAATTATTTTTTATTTCATTTATTCACAGGAAACCTCATAAAAAAATATACATGAATATATACATTTATTTACTATAGGTATCCCATAAATCTCAATAACCTTTGAAACAAAGATCTAGAAAGTGTTCTTAGGCTGTTTAATGATCATTTTCCTTACACTTTCAATCTCTTTTCAATAGGTGAATGTTAATTGTAAACATTAAAATAAATCAACTGGTGAATCAGCATTTTTTTTTTTTGTCCATAGGTATTGCACCAATATTTTTATTTTGAATTGTAATCAATAGAAGGGTTATTATTACAGGTTGCATAAAAAAAATATAATCAGTTTTGAACTTAGTTTTGTACTTGTGGCACTAAAAATACTGATCAAAGATTTTATTTTCACAGAATTCATAACAGTGGCAATATCTCCAAAACTTTCAATAATCTACTGAGGTCATATTGTGATAATCTGGTCAGTTCTGAGCTTCAATATCAGCTCTTTGAAGAATGAAGTTGAGTTTTGGGAAACCCTGTATAAACCCTCCATTTCTCATTCTGAAGCCAACCTTTTGATGACATGAGCCTGCTAGTGAAACCTTGAGAGAAGCTAACTTGGAATCAGTATCTCTGAAATGTCTCAGGGATTTCATAGTGCAAAAGTTGAAATTCTACTCATATGTATATACCTTCATACCTAGATGCAGCAATTCTCTTCTTCTCAGCAGTGATATGATATTTCAACTCATAAAAGTGATGCCATCACTTTCTCATCTCATTTTAGTTATTTTCAACTTGATTTTCAATCATCACCAAATATAGCAAACCTAAAACATAAAATAAATGGGTAGGTACATCAGCAGGTAGAGAACACAATAATGAAAAACATTATTCACTTTCATGATGACCTGTAGGATTGGAACTATACTCAAACTCATTCTCATAGATTCAACTTAAGGTTGAAGGTTTTAATAATATTCACATGAGTACTTAAAATATGTAAAAATAAGAAGTTATAGGAACCCCTAAAATTATAGGAATAGGTATTATATTTTAATCATACCTTAGATAATTATAGAGTTCTCTCCTCATATTATCTCATCAATAAATAAAGGTGAACAAAAATCCTTCCAGAAATGGTCACAATCCAACATCCAGACATATTTGGGGCCTTTTTCTGATTTCAATTACTGTAGACTTCTCACATTGTAAATTCACTAGGTACCTGTTCTTAAGGCTCAGCAGAAAACTGAAGCAGTAGTAATTATACTTTCCTTGAGTTTCCATAGTTTCGAATCTGAAAGATGTGGATCTTCTCCTTGATAAACATGTTTTCCTGCATACAAGGTAGTATTCAAGATACAAGATAAGATCTGTGGATAAGATTCTTCATGATTCCTTTCTTTATATTATAACCATATATTTGCTTATTGCTGATGAAAAACTTCATTTCCACAATTGATTCACAGCTGAGCACATCAAAAAACTGCACAGACCATAAAATAGGAATCACTGCTTTCCGAGCTGCTTTCACTATTTATGTTCCCACGCTTCACATCATCATTATCATGATCAATATGCACAGAATCCCGTATTTCGTCCAGGGCTGTAAGGGCCAGTATGCCAGTAAGGGGGCTCGGTCTCTACATATTTGTCATATCTCCACCATCTGCATGAACTATTTTTGAATTGTTGAGTGACTGAGTGACCGTGTCCCGTGAATGTCCGAATGTCGTGACTGAACTCAACTCACTAAAACTAAACAAACTATGCCATCGGCCGAGACTGCCAAGAGCACCGCTGAGAGGGAGCGAGGCTCAACTCATTAACGATTTTTGAGGTTATGTAGGTTTGACAGGAAAACAATTGAACTGAGTGTTTCCTCGAGTTGACCGTATGGCGGTACTACTGTATCGGCCACAGAACGCTGTAGGTGATTTCCCCTGTTTGGGCAGACCAGATACTCCAGCTCACTAGATTTTTTCTCTATTTAGCAGACAATGCTATTTTCAGTATTCAGTCAGATATTTTCAACAGTTTCAGCAGAGTAAATCATGTTTTGATTTTGATCATATTCAATTATTCATTTCAGTGTCAAGGTGAAATTTTCTAGGAATTTGCAAATTGGGAATTTTAGAAGTATCTGCTGTGAGTTATTATTATTCTTAAAAGTAGAAGTCTAGGTGTAAATAAATTGATAATTGGACAAATTTGTGATTACCTTACATATAATTTGAATTGTGATATTTTATTCAGAGATAACAATGGTTGATTACAGTAAATGGAAAAATATTGAGGTAATTTGTGAGATACATCAAATTTGTTTGCCTTATCAACTATACTTTTTTCAAGATATCAGATGATGAAGATGAGACACATCCAAATATTGACACACCCTCCCTGTTTCGTTGGAGACATCAAGCCAGGGTTGAGCGAATGGAAGGGAGAAAACAAGAACTGGATGCTATTGAGAAAAAAAAGTCTGAACAGACAAAAAAGATCAATGAAATTAAAGAAAAGGTAAAGGAAGCTGAGAAATCTTCAGCTGAGAACTTGGAAACACTAAATAAAAATCTTCAAGAGCTAGAGAAAGAAATGGAAGCTCTTAAGAAAGAAGAGGATGACTTCAAAAAGAAGGACAAATTAACTCCTTGGAATGTAGACACAATCAGTAAACCTGGCTTTGCTAAAACTGTTATCAATAAGAAACCTGCCCGCCCTAAAGATGAGAATTTGACAGAAGAAGAACGAGAAACAAGAATGAAAAAATTCATTGAGGAAAATAAAAAAGATCTGAAAAATTTTGGTATGCTCCGAAAATATGATGACTCTAGAATGTTCCTGAAATCACACCCACATTTGGTTTGTGAAGACACAGCAAATTATTTGGTAATTTGGTGTATAAATTTGGAGATGGAAGAGGTGAGTGATATTTTTGAAGGCCATGGTTAGAGTTCTGGTACCTTGCAGAACTTCAATAGTTTTAACTAAAGGTTTGCACCTGTGGAACATGGAACTATATTTAATTTACTTAAGGTCCCTACTCATGCAGCAGAGAAGAAACTTGAGAATGGAAAACAAGAAAGTAGATGTGTGTACTGATAATTGGTACATGTATACAGGGTGTTTCAGAGTTGTGGTGACAAAACCTAGGGGAGATTTCTTGCCACAAAATGAAAAAAAAAAAGTTCATATGAACATAGGTCCGAAAATTCTTTGTTTGGGTGATATAGCTTTGACGTTTGAAAAGGTAGTAATTTTGTTATTAATTATTAATATCTTCAAAAAGCCACAGATTAACAATAATCTGTGAAAAAGCTTAGGATGATTTTAGTGATTATGATTTTTCAGGGGCATACCCCAAGGCATAAGTAAGGGTGTAACTATTAGGCAAGTTGGATTTTCATATCTTGATGTTGGGAATATCCCCTTGGCTTTGTCACTACTACTCTGAAACACCCTGTATGAAGTATATAATGAAATAATAATGTTCCTAAAGAAAAGGAAATTGAAGAAACTGATGGGGATAGGGAATGGGATAACACTAGGTACCTACCTCAAAAAACTTGACATAGACCTCAAGAAAAGAAAAAAAATTCACATAATTTGCAAATCTATTCCTACCTGTATTAAAAGTTTATCGATTGATATTCATCTGAAAAATTTTTTTCTAGAAATAATTTGTATGGCAAAACAACGTTTGCCGGGTCAGCTAGTAGGTATACTAAATTCTCCTGTCCGGTCATGGTGTTAGTGCTGGAACTCCTCCGAAACGGCTTGACCGATTCGTATGAAATTTTTTGTACGTATTCGGTAGGCATGAGAATCGGTCCTAATCTATTTTTTATATCGAAAATTTAAGATGGCGGATCCAATATGGCTGACGAGTATTGTTATCCGATTTTATTCAAAATTGGTATTTTGGGGTTTTCGGGGTCGGAGATTATGATTCTTTCGTCAATTTTTGGAAATTCAAGATGGTGGATCCAATATGGCGGACGAGTTTTGTAATTATGGTCAGATTCCATTCATAATTGGTATCTGGGGGTTTTTGAGGTCGGAGATTATGATTTCTTCATCAAAATTAGGAAATTCAAAATGGCGGATCCAATATGGCTGACGAGTTTTGTACTTATGGTAAGATTCCATTCAAAATTGGTATATGGGGGCTTTCGAGGTCAGAGATCATGATTTTTTATCAAAATTAGGAAATTCAAAATTGTGGATCCAATATGGCGGACGAGTTTTGTAATTATGATCCAATTATATTCAAAATTGGTATCTGAGGGTTTTCGTTTTGGTTCGTTCGTCAAAATTTGGAAATTCGAAATGGCGGATCCAATATGGCGGACGAGTTTCGTAATTATGGTCAGATTCTATTCGAAATTGGTATCTGGAGGTTTTAGGGGTCGGAGATAATGATTCTTTTGTCAAAATTTGGAAACTCAAGATGGCGGATCCAATATGGCGGACGAGTTTTGTAAATATGATCCGATTCCATTCAAAATTTGTATCTGGGTGATTTTCGGGGTCGGAGATTAGGATCCGTTCATCAAAATGAAAAAGGAAATTAATCATCATCTCCGATAATATCAGTTATGTTGATAAAGAAATATAAAGTCATGATAAAATGAACAGCAAGTTCAGAAAATAAGAGTTATCTGAGAATTCAGATACTTTGTAATATCTGATATTGAATTGTATTCCTACTGATTCTGCTATTGCTAAACAAACACTCATCACTCATGTAATTCCTGAGTATTCGAAAAAATATGTGGAATAGTTTCTCATCGAAAAAGATAAAATGTCATGTTCATAAGATTCTTTGAGTTTATCAAAAATAATCGATAGATTTCATTTCAAATGTCATTGATTATCAATATTGTAAGATGGTGTGAACTCACATTTTTTTACAATTGCATGTGAAATAATCTGAAAAAAATTTATAAAATTAATGACAATTTTGAAGAAATGCTTTATTAAAAAATATATTCTGTAGAATGAACTTCAAAAACGATCCATAACAGCTTTCAGACAAGAAATCGTATAATCTATTTTTCATAACTCATCAGACGGAAACTGCTATTCTCGAGTCGCGAAAGAGTTTACTCTGGTTAAGATTATGAAATACATAGAGCGCAGAACCTCCTTACAGTTCAGAAACGCCAAATTTGTCGCTATCACGATTCTTTATTAAATTGACACTTCGAAAATAACGTTTATTAAGTAGAGGATACACTTCCCAATATGCAAAATGATTTTTCATGATGAAAACAAAATTATAAGGTTCTCAATCAGATTATCTAGGTGCCCGGAAAGTGTTATTATGGAAAACTCACTGATTTTGTATAAGAAATTAAAAACGGCATATTTTGTAAATTTTTGGGTACATTCATGATTCTTTTCTGATTAATTAGGTGAGGAAACTGAAATTCTACTCACAGGGAACCATTCATTCATATCTTCGAGAAAAGTACACCTGACAGATGATGTATTCCCCTTCTATGTTTGGATTGTACTATGATTTGGTAGATCGAGGACTACCATACGCAGAGAATATTAACGAAGATATTGTTTTTTTTTGTTTTTCAACCCCTCTTCTACCCCCATAGACGGCCTGACAAACTATGAGTTCACTACCTTCCTATCAAATTCGATTAGTAGATTCGTTTGCCGTCTTCAAAATCCATGTACAACGAATATTAACGGAGATATTAATTTTTTTTGTTTTTCAACCCCTTTTCTAATCCCTTTGACGGCCTGTCAAACTATGAGTTCAACACCTTCTTATCAAATTCGATTAGTAGATTCGTTTTCCGCCTTCAAAATCCATGTACAACGAATATCAACGGAGATATTGATTTTTTTTGTTTTCCAACCCCTTTTCTACCCCCTTTGACGGCCTGACAAACTATGAGTTCAACACTTTTCTATCAAATACATTCAGTAGAATCGTTTCCTGCCTCCAAAATCGATGTACAAGGAATATCAACGGGGATATTGATTTTTTTTGTTTTTCAACCCCTTTTCTACCCCCTTTGACGGCCTGACAAACTATGAGTTCAACACTTTTCTATCGAATACAATCAGTAGAATCGTTTCCTGCCTCCAAAATCCATGTACAACGAGTATTAACGGAGATAATGATTTTTTTGTTTTTCAACCCCTTTTCTACACCCTTAGACGGCCTGGCAAACTATGAGTTCAACACCTTTTTATCAAATACAATCAGTAGAATCGTTTCCTGCCTCCAAAATCCATGTACAACGTGTATTAACGGAGATAATGATTTTTTTTGTTTTTCAACCCCTTTTCTACCCCCTCTGACGGCCTGACAAACTATGAGTTCAACACCTTCCTATCAGATACAAACGGTAGATTCGTTTGCCGCCTTCAAAATCCATGTACAACGGATATTAACGAAGATATTGATTTTTTTTGTTTTTCAACCCCGTTTCTACCCCCTTAGACGGCCTGACAAACTATGAGTTCAACACTTTTCTATCAAATACAATCAGTAGAATCGTTTCCTGCCTCCAAAATCCATGTACAACGAGTACTAACGGAGATAATGATTTTTTTTGTTTTTCAACCCCTTTTCTACCCCCTTTGACGGCCTGACAAACTATGAGTTCACCACCCTCCCATCAAATATAATCAGTAGAATCGTTTGCCGCCTTCAAAATCCATGTACAACGAATATTAACGGAGATAATGTTTTTTTCTGTTTTTCACCCCCTTTTCTACCCCCTTAGACGGCCTGACAAACTATGAGTTCACCACCCTCCTATCAAATACAATCAGTAGAATCGTTTGCCGTCTTCAAAATCCATGTACAACGAATATTAACAGAGATAATGTTTTTTTTTGTTTTTCAACCCCTTTTCTACCCCCTTAGACGGCCTGACAAACTATGAGTTCACCACCCTCCCATCAAATACAATCAGTAGAATCGTTTGCCGCTTTCAAAATCCATGTACAACGAATATTAACGGAGATAATGATTTTTTTTGTTTTTCTACCCCCTTAGACGGCCTGACAAACTATGAGTTCACCATCCTTCTATCAAATACAATAAGTAGAATCGTTTGCCGCCTTCAAAATCCATGTATAACGAATATTAACGGGAGATAATGATTTTTTTCGTTTTTCAACCCCTTTTCTACCCCCTTTGACGGCCTGACAATCTATGAGTTCAATACTTTTCTATCAAATACAACCAGTAGAATCGTTTCCTGCCTCCAAAATCCATGTACAACGTGTATTAACGGAGATAATGATTTTTTTTGTTTTTCAACCCCTTTTCTACCCCCTCTGACGGCCTGACAAACTATGAGTTCAACACCTTCCTATCAGATACAAACGGTAGATTCGTTTGCCGCCTTCAAAATCCATGTACAACGGATATTAACGAAGATATTGATTTTTTTTTGTTTTTCAACCCTGTTTCTACCCCCCTTAGACGGCCTGACAAACTATGAGTTCAACACTTTTCTATCAAATACAATCAGTAGAATCGTTTCCTGCCTCCAAAATCCATGTACAACGAGTACTAACGGAGATAATGATTTTTTTTGTTTTTCAACCCCTTTTCTACCCCCTTTGACGGCCTGACAAACTATGAGTTCACCACCCTCCCATCAAATATAATCAGTAGAATCGTTTGCCGCCTTCAAAATCCATGTACAACGAATATTAACGGAGATTATGTTTTTTTTTGTTTTTCACCCCCTTTTCTACCCCCTTAGACGGCCTGACAAACTATGAGTTCACCACACTCCTATCAAATACAATCAGTAGAATCGTTTGCCGTCTTCAAAATCCATGTACAACGAATATTAACAGAGATAATGTTTTTTTTTGTTTTTCAACCCCTTTTCTACCCCCTTAGACGGCTGACAAACTATGAGTTCACCACCCTC